GACATTGGATAACTAAATTCTTAGCAAGTGAAATAAAGACAAATCCGCGCCAACCCTTGGATATCGAGAAAAAAACACTGAAAATACCACAGTGTGTTGCATGCGTCTCAGTAGGTTTTGTGCATCACGATTTCGTACAGGGAAGTTAGTTGTTTTAGCAGACAGTCAAGGCATATAAGATGTGAGCAGATGTTTTTTGTTGTTGGCCAAGGTTTGTGAGCTGACAGGCGAAGGGGACTTGCAGATGAGGAGAGATGGAAGATGAGCAGCAGACAGGTTTGTAAGTTGACAGACGAACAGGATTTGCACATCAATTCAGATGAGAAATCGAACATGCGTAGGCGATGCAGAAGAGGCATTGTAGGTACTCTCACAGAGATGTTTCACAGTGAATTGAACAAAGATAGCAAGAGCGATGAAGACCATGAAAAACAACATTGATATGGACACATTGTAACAGTAAAACATGAGACAACAACACGAATTCAGAGAATTCAGATGTTTTTATTCCTGACATTTTCAAAAACTTGAGATGTATGTATGAAATATTATGGTTTAGACCCTGTGTACTCTTTACCTAGCTTCGATTTTACACGGTACCAACCTTTGCTCAAATTAACTTGTGTTGAAGCAAATTTAGTGTACGACCAGAACATGTATGAATGATTGAACAAGAATCTAAAGGAGGAAACCAAGCACGTTTCAGACAGTAGAAGCAAACACTATTCAAATGGCTGGCAAACCTTCGGAGTGGTGGGATTTGTGCTTTTGGTTCTGGGTGAAAGAAAAAGCCCCAACCACTGCACTCCAAACCAGCCTTTTTGAAGGCAGCTGACTATGGGTCTGTCTTTGCTTAAGGGGCACCTTCAGAATGGAATGACCCTGAAAGGAGGCACACCTTCCAATGCCCAAAGGACCGTCTATGAGCTCTTCAAGTTCCTGGGCTTTCATCGAGTTGGTGTGGTTTATGGATACAGGCGCGATGCTGAGATCGGAGATCGGGACATGGGCGCGGCTTTCTTTCTTTGGCACTTTGCAAGATCTTTTTTGTCTTCTTTTGATAGGCGTCCACATCGGATCCTCAAAAAAGAACAACCCAAATTCAGAAATGGAAGACGACCAAAGGTCCAGCCTTTTCCACATGTAGGAATCGTAGGGTTGTTTCAACTAACGCACTTGCACCAAAGCAAAGTTGTATCTCCCGTGAGGTGAGTCAGTGAGTCAGAGCCACAGGGGGGATGGTCTAATCAGCATATAGGTGTGTTTTTTTTGTTGAGGATCCACGTTTTTGTTGTTTTAAAGGGATGCCAAAAGGAGTTCAACTATTCTGGCAAAAAGAAACATGACACAGCCATGTGAGTCAGGAGCATCAATTCCCTGGCCAAAGACGGCTTCTTGGAGTTGATGGCCAGAGACAATGCGGATGGCAGTTATTCGTGGACGCCTCTCTATACGCACAGGGTGGAGGTGATTGAGGATGCTCAAGCTGCTGTGGAGCAGGCACGCCTTAGACCCAAGAGAGGCTTTCGGACTAGTGAACGGTTTCGGACGCGGTTTCCACCCGTTTGGTCGTTCCATTCTGTTCTTGATTTACACGCCTTGGATGTGGAGTGGATGCACACAGGCATCCAAACCGCTTCCTGGATTGAGCAGCTTTGAGCGCTTCACGATTTTTGGCCCTCTCCTGGAACCCCCGAAATGGAACGAGACGAATGCTATGAGGGGCATGTGGCCTTTCTCTTGAGCCCGGCAGGCCTATGTCAAGGATGCGAGGATCAATTTTATGGGCCTCTACGAAGTGGAGGGCTCCATGGTTCTTTGCCAGTGTCACAAGCGTAACATGCTAACGCCTGAGTACAATTGGTTTGTGGCCTCGGGTTGGTGGAATGCCAATTTCATCTCTCTGACCGCCAACACGGCCAAGAGCCCCTGCTCGGCCGCCGAGCTGCAGCGGGCGTCCTACGGGCTCATCGCCATCGACAGGGGCCCCATGCTCAACACCGCGGAGCTGCACAGCTTGTCCGGGCGCCGGCTGTCGGATCCGTGGCGCCGATATGGCACATGGCGCAAAAGCCCGGTGACCCCCCCAGTGAACATCCTGATCCAAGCACGAAAATAGGTTCGAAAATGGGTGGTGCACCCACCCCAAAATGGGACCAAAACGGTTTTGACCCACAGCCATATGACTCTCAGGACGTAGTGGAAGTTGGTTTTACACTCCATGTCCCCTTGGTAAAAGGTGCGCAAAAAGCTCGCTGCCCAACATTTTCTCGAAAAGCAAAGTTCTCCACCGGGGGTCAGACCTTGTTGAGGACATCTACGCGGAGTACACCAGCTTGTGCCAAGGCTTTGCCAGCGGCAAGGGGGCGTGCAACCACCAGTGGGCTGGATACTTCTATGATGGCATTTGGCTCATTGCCTCCATTCTGCATACCTACCTGGTGGAGCAGAACAGGCAAGGGATACGGGTGTGTCTTTTTGTGGCTTCGAAGGGAAACCATACTTTGGGCCCCCCCATGTATTCAATACTGATTCGGAGCCGCACGAGCAAACTTACGCGAGCACACTTGCGTGAGCAAACTGGCGCGAGAGATTCAGTGGAGCATCTGCGAAGCTGCCACGGATCGGCGTTGACGGCTCCCCCAAATGTGTTTGTTATTCCGCTTTTCTATTCAATCCATCCAACTGGGGGTTCCCATGTTGAGACGCACCCATGCATGAAGCGTGGTTGACGCCAGGATGTGCTGACAACTGTCAAACTGGATTGTGTAAACACTAAAGGGCTTTACTACTTTGTGACTTGCGTGCGCGACCCTCTTCGGGGGATTAACGTGTTCAATATACAAAAACTTTGCCAGTTTTGGGCGCTCTCTCAACCCGCGGGGATTGGCGGGTGTGCAATAGCTGAAGCCGACCCGCTGCGGGGATTGGCGTGGTCGCTGTGCAAGCTGTCGTGTTTTGCCACTCTTGGTACTTGCATCGGCAACGACATGTTTGAAGAACGACCAGCCGAGAGATCGCCCAGACAGCTTGCGAGCACCTGCCTAGCCAAGCTTGCGCAGAGAAATTGGAGCCGAGAACTTTGACAGAGAAACTTGCGTGCAGAACTTGCGCAGATAAGCTTGAATGCAGATCTTGCAGAGACACTTGCAGAGTGAATTTTCGCAGAGATCACTCGCAGAGAGAGCATGCTTCGCTCTACGCTTGCGGGCCGCCCGTTCTTCCACTTGATATGTATTTGGGGTGGGAAGCATAGGAAGCCTGTTACCCAAGTCGGACCAGTGTAATCCTGGCTGAATGCAGGGTTCCAAGAAGCCATTCGATGGTTGGGTATTCATCGGACCCAACTTGCGGATGGTCGGTCCCTCTACGTCCGCTTTGTATTTCCCTTTCACCACCCAAAAGGGAAAGGCGGTACTCTGAGTCCTCAAGCTTCGCAACGAAGGGGCAGGTCACGTTTTGACGTTTTGTTCCCTGAACTTTCCGAGCGAAACGCGGGCTGCGGCCAATTGGGACACAGCATTTTCTTTCATGAGCCACAGAAAACACGGACGAGTTGCGTGGTTTCCCATTTGAGCCGTTCGTTGAAAGGTTTTTTGGTTTTTCCTTTGGAGAGCCGGAAAGAGCAAATCGGTAAACCCCAAAGACCCAACGATGCCCGTCAGGGGGTTCTGACACTTCCATGGAGGTCGAGACCTGGCGGGTGCATTCGGGGATTGGGTTTATCGCAAGAGGGTATGGCTCAAAATGAAACCAGGACATGGACCGCAGGTTTTGGTGCACTCCACTTACCATGGCAACCCATTTGGGGGTTACCCAATTTTGGAACTGCAGCCATGCCCCGGCTGGTTTTCCGGTCGATCGGTCGGTCAGGTCTGTGGCTGACCTGGGTACGGAGGCCTCGCGCCAGGCTCGGAACGCGTGGCCTTTTTCTTTATGGGTCGGGCCTCGTGACAAACAAAACTGTGGGATTCACTTCACCCGCCCAAAAAATGGCTGTGGGTCAAAACCAATGGTACCATTTTGGGGTAGGTGCGCCACCCATTTTAGAACCTATTTTAGTGGTTGGATTGAATCGGATGTTCACTGGGGGCCTGGGAAAAGGTGCGATTCGGGTTTTTAGGCCCATGGCCGAGGCTCCCTTGGATGTGTCCACACCACTTTCTTTGTTTTGGGCGTTGCAAGGCCAACCCCTGTCCCACGGACAACCCTGGTGTGACACATCACGTTTGCCAACTTTTTTCAGGGCTTTCATTCAAGCGTGAGAATAAAGACCTGATTGATGGTAATCCTTGATCTCTCTTCTCCGAATCCCTATTTGGTGCGAGGATGGCTTACCCTGTTTGCACTGGTTTATGCCGCATTTCACGTTTTTTTTTTTTTTAATTGCCGACACAAGGCTCTCCCAGCAAGGATTGCCTTTCTACAGGCTTGAAATTAGATAGGGCTCCTAAAAACCTCCATACTTCGGGGTTCCATGTCTGAAGGCCTTGTACGACCTGTCGCTGGGCGTAGACTTCTATGGCCAAACCGGGCGTGTTCGCCGCTGTGCCGAGAGAGCCGGAAGTCGCGCAGGGTTGGCAATTGGCGCATCGCTTTCTATCGATGTGCCTCCTACATCAGAGGATGCCCTCACTACAGAGGGCATCCTCAACTCTCTTTGGATGTGCTCGAGCGTGCTAAATAGGCCTTCTCCTGCTTAGGCGTTTCTCTCACCAACACAATTACAAGAATTCCCACCGCCTGGTGAGCATTGTGGTAGCATCGTAGCATCTTTGCCCTAGGATGGGACTAAGAAAGCTGGGGTGCATTTTGCCAAGGGATCTTAGGACTGACTCACTTTTTGCATGGGGTTTTCCCTATTAAACCACTAAAAGAAAGTCCAACTCATGGGGTTTTCCGTAAACCGCTAAAAGAAAGTTGGTCTTTTTTGTAGGGCAGCAGATTTCGCCAGAAATGTCTGATCCCAGGTTCGGGGGCTGAAGTTTCGGCTTTCCGAGGCCAGTTCAACAGCGTGGGGCCGAAGACCGCGCCGCCCTCCCACGGGGACCGGGACGGCATCGTGCTGCTGCGCCAGGCCACGGGCCCCGCGGAGGGCGCCTTTGTGAAGCTGGCCTTCCGCACCGAGGCGGGCGGGCGCTTTTTTGTTTTTTTTCTCTTTCTTCTTTTTTTGGTTCTCTCTTTCAGCGAGGTTGGGGAGAGATGCGCTCGATCTTCGATCTTCAGCTTTTGAAGGTCTCGTTTGACCAACCAAAAAAGAACCTCAAATACAGGCACTCCCACATTGGCGTAACGAAGCGTAAGCATAGACAGTGAGATTCAGGCGTTGATGTGATTTGGCGTGGCTGTCCCGACATATCATTGGATCGAAGCACATTTCGCTCAGGTCCTTTGCTTTGCCAACGCCATTCCCCCTTTCAAGAGGCACCAAAGATTCATATTGTTGTATTATTTGATTTGTATGTCTTGGGCCCTGTCTGTTCACAGCCATCTGCTTCTTATAAAAGCACGACACGGAACAGATAGATCACCCACTCACTTCGCTCATTCCCGTCCCTTTCCACGGTCTATTTTGTCTTCAATGACATGCTAACATAGCAGACCCACTGCTACACAGAGTAAGAAAACAGGAAAGGGATGACGGACGGAAAGGAACGGACTCACTCACACGCTTCCTCACCCTTGAAGTTATTGCCTGAGGACTGATAAAGAACTGCCAGAGAGACATAAAGATAAACAATATGATAGGACATGAAAGAGATGGACGCAAGAGATTTTCCGAGTCAAGCGAAGCTCCGAAAGTCACCTTGCACCTCTCATCGTTAATCTGTGATGGCTGGCCCATAATTCACTGCAAGAGCTGGACCAGAGTGACACGGAGAGAGTGAGAGAGAGCGAGATGGCCATTCACTCACCTTCCTTTCTCATCTTGGGCTAGCTCTCTGTGTAGCTCCCTATTTTTTAATTGCCATGCTGCCATGCTTCTCATTATTTTTCTTCTTTTGACATGAGTGGACAAAATGGGTTCTGCCTGCCTTCTTAGGTCCAACACACCCGAACACCTGGAGAAACTCACGCCCCAAACGGGGGTTGGGGCTGGGCTTGGAGCCCTACCCCCGGAAGGGTTCCTTTAAACCCGTGCGTCAGAGCCCCGCGGAGCTTTGCCTTTGGCTGGGCTGGAAGTGTGGCGGAGTGTTTTTTCCTTCCACGTTTTCCATGGTGGTTGATATCAATATGCCGTTTCGGGCACTCCCAAATGACCCTGGGCAATTCTTCTCACATGTGGTGCACGTTTCTTCGTTTTTGGCGGTTTCCCTGATGGTCATCCTATCTAAACCGGACCTTTGTATCAAAATGTGGGTATGGGTCAAAAAAAATCACCACAGAGGACTGCAGGTTTTAATCCTTGGTTCTATTTGCCCGGGATCCATGCTACCTATTTTTGACCCACAGCCATGTGAAATAAATGAGCCAAGCAACAGGCAGGGTGGGTGCTGCCAGTGAGCTCAGGTCTCGCAGGTCTGGCCAATGCGACCCGTCTGGAAGTTTTCGGCTCACTGGGAGAAACTTTTTGGGTCCGAATTTTCTGGTTACCCGGTTGGTAAGGCGAGTCGCATTGAATGAATTCCCTGCTCCGGATGTTGCAAACAGAGGAATTCAGTTCAAGATAAGAAATTTGGGATGGCCGGGAAGCGGAAGCCAAAGGAAATCCACCGAGGGCTCAATTGGATGCCCAGATGGCTTCCTTGGGCTTCCTTTAAAACTGTTATCCGCCGGAAAGGTTCTCAAGACCGTTTTTAGAACCATTCCCAGAAGGGTTCCAAAAACCCCCAAGGCAGCCGGAGGGGGCCTTGGGTCCTCTTGTTTTCAGATGGCGAAGCTTCTATTCTTGTTCCATGGCACCGGACCGGGGGCTCTGCTGAAGAGGAAATTGATCTTGGTACACTGCTGAAGGGTAACCCTTTCCACCTTTGTGAACTCTCAGCAAGTTTGAGACGGGACAATCCCCGGAGTGGACTTGTGCGGAGGCCGGTTTCGACTTCCAGACAGACATCAAGTGGAGCCCAGATGACACCAGCACCTCGGCAGGAAGAGTTGCATTTCCTGCGGACATCAGCCGAAGACGTGCAAAGGTGTCGGAACCCTTTTTAGAGTCGCCTGATTCATTCGGATCGCACAGAATTTCATTGGCACATCATGTCATCGCTGGAAGTTTGCCTTGGGGAAAATTGGGGGCGTGGATCTCCGGGGATGGATCTCCGGCTTCGCTGACCCTGCTGGGCATGTATGTGTGTGCACATATTCATATTTATACGCCGCATTCATTCCTGTCTGTGGTCTACTACTACATATTATATATATATATATATGTATATATATATATATATATTGGTACTGTTCATGACAGGCATAAATAAATAAATACATATATATATATATATATATAGCATGTCATGCTCAGAACGGACATCCCCTTTGGCTACTTGTCTTGGACGTGTCTGATCGTTTTCACTCGGAACTGCGATTCCATGCATGCGCTTGACACCTGAGCTCCTTTCTGATGTCAAGTTCCAACGTCCCACGGAACCTCATGAGCCCAGAATCGGCTCCTCCCATGCAACCTAAGCCAGGTCCCTACGGAAATGGCCCGCCTCTCCGTGTTCAGAGGGGCTCCAAGGTCAACACTGTCTTTAAATCAAACCCATTCGGAGCTTTTGGTACCTACGTTAAGCCAAGTGCCATCGGAAGAAAGACAGATCTCGCGAACGTGCGAAGCCTGGATGAAAGCGTTTGGTGGTTTAGACCGAGGGTCGTCCTCCAAACTCCGAGCTCCCACGGGGGGGGGGGTGATCCACTTGATTCTAGAAATCTGACTACGATTTTTTCTCAAGGGGAACCCTCCGAATGGTTTGCTTTCACCCCCAAAAAGGGTACCATCTCAAGAAGACACCCACATAAATGGGAAACACTCCGAATGTTTGGCTTAACCCCCAAAAAGGGTACGCACTGAAAAAAAGACCCCCACATACCTGGTTTCTTGGGTACCATCTCAACAAAAGACAGCCACATACCTGGGGAATGTTTGGTTTGACCCCCCCAAAAAGGGTACCATCTCAAAAAATGACCCTCCGAAAGGTTGGATTAACCCCCATTTTCTTTGATGGTTCTGCGTCAGCTCATGGCTTGGAGGCCGGATGGTCTCCTGCAGCGGTGCCTGTGATTTGGCCAACGCCTGGGTGCCCGCTGACCGAACTGCCCAGTGCCCCGCGGGAAGGATCTGGATCAACGAGGAGCGGTCGTCCAGGTCCCCCCCCGCCGTTTCGGGGCGGTTTCAAAGAGCACCAGAAGGAAACTCTTGGCATTTTTTGACCGTGGAACCCAAAAGGAACATGGTCTTCCATGACCCCGGTGAGGCTCCATGTTTGTGGATGTGAGGGTAATTTTCAGACAAAGAAGAAAGAATCTGCAATTGAGACTGCGAGCAATTCCGGGCCGTTAGGCTCGAGGAGTTTGCACTTTGGCACCGCTGCCATCGGCTGCTGACATGTTTCTGCATCAATTCGACATGAAGCCGTTTACCCAGTTCATACGGGTTTCTCGTGTTATCTTCTCGTTAGTTGGTGTTCCTTTGTTTCCTTTGCTAACCAATAAGAAGAGGGGCCTGCTTTTTGCCCAGCGCATATTTTGTGGCCCGAGGGAAGGCACCTGTTTTGTCTTGGGTCAATGAAGCTGCAAATCCCACCCGTCCACATGGGCTTCGCCCGGGCTTGTGAATCCACAAGCGGAAGATGCCCTCAGTATTACACGAAGGAACGATACGTTACCACTACGAGTTTGTGCTGTGCTTGTTTTTCTTACTTTAGTTCGTAGCCACGAGCTTCAACAGACAACCCCTCAGTGGTTGGACCTAAAAATCCCAGATCCACCTGGACCCCTTCAAATTCAGGTTCCTTCCAATTCCTGCGAAACTCCAAGCCCAGAGTTTTGGTCACAGCCCAACTTGGCTTCCCATGTTCGACGGCCCGCGCCCCCCGCGCGCTTCTCCACTCCCCGCCTCCCGCCTCTTCGGGGGCCCCGGAGGAGGGCTGCGTGCAGTGCGCCGCGGGCTCCTTCGCCGCGCTGTCCGCGAGCAGCTGCCAGCCGTGCGCGGCGGGGAGCTTCAGCAACGCCAGCGGCGTCAGCCGCTGCGATGCGACGAGGGCGAGGGGGGGGGGGGGTCAGTTTGGTTGCCCAGTGGCTTGCTTCCGTTTTTGTCCGACTTTTCTGGGGAAGGGAAGGGTTCCCCTTCAAAGTCAAGCAACCGAAAAAAGGAGGCCGATTCTTTTTGCCCATGGACATCCACTGGGCATTTGAGGTCAGATACTCCTGGAAACTGCTCAGAAAAAGGGTTTATCAGGGTCATTCCCTCAGTCCCTGCTGAGCACCAGGTGAATGTCATCCCTGGAAGAACCCAAGTCGTTTTTTGTGGCGTTTGCGGGATTTGTGGGGAATCAGACAACTTTTGGAGGGGAGCCCTATTCATCCTCACTTCGCGGCTTTGAGCTTAATGTTTCGTGGGTGGTTTGAGATTGGTGGGAATTGAAGCCTTGCTTCTTGTGAGTAAATTGCAGGTATCCTTTGCCTCGAACCACCTGGGGGCGAAGCTGAGGAATGTTACCACCGGACCAAAGTAGAACTTCCTGGGATCACTTTTGCGGGTTTGCGGGCACTTGGGATCCATGGTAAAACCTGACATAGTTCCCCACATAAATGCAGCTTGCGGTTTGTAGGGATGGGGCAACAAGGCTTGGTCGACTGATCTCATCATAGTAGTCGTACCTTTGTTGGAGGCCTCGAAGCCCTGGTTTTTCGCATTCCAAAGGCCCTGCGTGGCCACGTCTCCTTTTTGCATGTGCAGGGCCTACCTTTCATTATTCTAGCGATATCTACTCTGTTTGCTTTTTCGTTCCAAGTTTAAAAGCACTGCAAAGCATAGCGTTTTGCGGATTATGCAGACATGAAGGGCCTCGAGCCAAATATGGCAGAAGGCAAGAATGCGTCAAGGTCAAACCTTACAAAACAGACACACACTTCTTTTGACCTTCAGCACCCAATTACTCCACTGTAGCCATATCAACGTGCTACTGTTGAGTCTGCTTTTCTTGAGTCTCAAAAATGCTCCGATTCGTAGAGAGCTAATTCTGTCTAAAGCTGATTTGATTGATGCCAAAAGAGGCGGCGCACTGCAAGTGTCTCACGGAAACGGAAATGATGAAGGTGGCATGGCCTCCTTCCCCAAAAACGGGTGCTGAAAGGGGGCAGGCGCAGCTGGGAGAGCGATCTATTGACAAGGAGGTGAACCCTCAGGACCCGCGGAGGTGTGTGAGCAGGGCGTGGGACAATTGGGTGGACCTCCCTTCCGCACCGTGAGCAAGCTGCGCTTCCGAGCTCCCGGAAGCGGGGGCCAAGGAGAAGGTTGGGCTGGCGCCCGGATTAGATTGCGTCCTCAAGATGGTCGCAATCATTGAGATCTGCCATCAACGGCTGACGAAGTTGAAACAAGGAGACAAGCCCTCCCAAATCGACTTAGACTTGCTGCAGCTGGTCATGGTCTGGCGCAGCATGAAGAGGACAGATGAATTTCTGTCGGGCTTGGGGTCTGCAAGTTTCGTCTCCAGCCACCAGAATACCCTGGATTTCAGATCTGAGGACACTTCACAGAATACTGTCTACGGAGAGTGTCCGCGGAAAAGCGCTTCCTGTAAGCGCCTCAGGTTGCGGCAGAGTTGGCTCTTTCAAGGAGATCGTAAATTTGCCCATCTGCACCATGGGAACTCACTCCCCTGGACTTCCAAAAGTGTTCGATTGATCTGTTTGGAACCTGTTGCGACGGAATCTGTCAGCATCCTTCTTTGTCCGGGAGAACCGAGGACGTTTAACCCAGTGCTGCATTCCGCATGGCGCGTGCTGTCCTGCTGTGTCCGCCCAGATGCTGGAGGCACTTGTGCCCTGTGGCATACCACCTGAACATGGCCATGTCCTTTCCACTTCAGGGATTTTTAACACATCCTAGTGAAGGTCCAACTTTTACAGGTGTCCCCTGAGCGCCCAAAATCTATGTGCCATGTTACGAAATTGCTACTTCGTTTAACCGCGAGGCATATAGATCTTTTCGAACCAAACAGTCTATAAACTTGTCAGGGGCGCCCAGGATCACCCTGGGCATGCGGTGTCTGAAAGGTAGACGCAAAGCTTTCAGGGCATCCTGTGAAAGTGCTCCACGAGGTCCTGCAGGCACAGCTGGAGCAGACATCACAATTCGTAGTGGCGCAGCTCGACCATCTTTTTCCATTACAGATGAGCCTTGCCTCAGGGAGCGGCTCTGACAGCGAAGATCTTCTTCCGCTCGACGCAGCTCCTCCGCAGGCCTTTGTCCTCTGTCTTGCCAATCTCCGTTTGAGTTTAGGCAGGTTTGCCCACGGACGAGTGGAGGCTGTGCTCAAACTGCTTTGATGGGCGGCGTGGTCGTCTGTGTCTCGGGGTGTTGGGGCTCATCTGACGCTCGCTCTGCGCAACTGCCGAACTTCCGGTAAGAGAGCAGGCTCAACCACTGCTACCAAGAGAGCCGCAAGATCGCTGAAAATCTCGGCGCCCTCATTCCCCCCGGATATAAGAAGCCTCATCGTTCTCGGCCGACTCCAACCAGTTGAACTGCACAGCCGGTCATGAAGTTCCCGCATTCTTTTCCATGCTTCACTCCGGAAGTTGACCAAGTTGCCTAGTGAAGGCCCGAAGTAGTAGGGGCAGACACAGCACGCCTCCTGCTAGCAGGGGAAGGCCACTCCGCTGCCCAGCAGAAAGGACGCAAAAGGCCAGGAAGGAGACGGGCAAAGGCGATGGGAGGGAGGATCAACCAAAATTGTGTGGACGGAAAACAACTTATGTCACCAGCCTTGGCCAGCCAGAAACACGATTTTCGGCCCTGATTGTGACCACTGAGCGCGTGGGCCAGAACTGAAAGCAGTGAGCGTGCCGCTCTGAGGCGTGAACTCACGGACGTTTTGGAAGCTTGCGCTCCATCCCAATTGCTGAAGTTTGTTGGAGCCTTTTTGATTCGAGGGGAGGTAAGCAGAATCTGCGCAGTTTCAACAGCGCCATTTGTCTGCAGTTTCTCAAGACGAAGCCCCATGAAGCTCGGAGCTCCATGAGGTTTTGAAGCCAGTCGTTGGTTGGTCCAGGGAGCCTGAAGCGATCCCAAAGCTTTCCGGGCTACCAGCTGCCTTAAGCACCAATCCCCTAAAACAACACAGGTTGTTTTTTGATGTATCCTTTACAAATCAAAGGACGCTCCCCTCCTCTCCAGGCCCCATTTCAGTGCTCCTGATTTTTTTTGTGGGAGGCTACAAGCAAGCAAGTCTCACATCATATTCGTGGGGAAACCACCCTTTGCACCTAGGCGTGTGCCATGGCTGTTCCCCTGGGAAGTATCAGCCCTTTGCTGGGCAGACGGACTGTGAGGAGTGCATTGAAGGCGGGGACAGATTCGGATGCCGCAAGCTGTGGATTTGGGTGTGGTTTTTTTGAGCCTCAGCTGCTTACCTTTCAACTTGTTGGGCCCCCCTGCTTTGACACATCATTTGTCCAGGGCAATCTTCTACGAACCCAAGAACCCGGTTGAAAGGGTAGCCCGTGACAAACAACCAAGCGTTGCCCCAAATGTGTCAAGTCGGTGGCTCTCGGCGAGTTTCCCCGCGGTTGGACCTACCAAGGGCGTATTTGGGCTTCCTCCCCCATGACTTCGGGGCAACCTGCCCGGTCGAGAGTCCACCGTAGCCTTGCAGAAACCAACATGTGGTTGGTTCCAACTGATTTTGATTTGAGGGAGAGATCTGAGGGAGAAATCTGAGTACAACTTTTTGACCCCCCCCTTTACAGTGTCACCTTTTTTCCAGGCGTTCGGTGCGAGTTGAGTTACTTAGGAGCGGCGATTTGGGGAGGGATCGAACGCATGTGACTTGTTGAGAACCATCTCGGAGCCCTTCAATCAGAACCCTAAGACTTAAGAAGGTTCCAAGATGTTCCAAGAACCTTGCCTTTCGTTTTGCTGGTTTTTGTAGTACAATGTTTTCTGGCACGGGACACTGGATTTGTGCTATGTTTTGATCTGCTTGTGCATGCAAGTCTGTATTTGACGTTTGCGCTCGCTTTGCTTATGTTGAGCTCTTGTTGAGTAGCATGTGTTACAATGTGTTGAAATGTGAACTGATTTGTAGAGAACACTTTTTCGGGCAGTAAATGCTGAACATATTCTAATTTGAAGCATAGTTCTTATCATTTAACATTCTAATGTATTCTGAAATTCTGATTGCTTTTTTAAATCAAAGTGTGTTTAAATCGAATTCGACATTGAGTCGAGCCTGAGAAAGATATCAAGTAGACTGTCATAACGAAAGAATTCAGAGGTCCCACATTTGAATAAACTGTGTGTTAATGTCACCTGATGTGTAAAGGAAAATCCATCGGAAATGACATCCTGTGTGAAATTTTGACATAGAATAAACATTGTTCAATGTCAAATTTAACATTGATTTTGATTGGATCCAGTCCTTGTTAAATTCTATCAACATTTAGCTAGAACATTAGAGCTTGATCTTATCAAACATGATTTCATAAGGAAAGGTCCGAAAATCGCTTTTTACCAACCGCCCCCCCCCCCCCACGACCATGGACAGAAACACAGTAAAAGCGGTTTGTAGGCGTTTGTGTACTAAATTTCCATTTTCAATTCGGACGTGGCCTACATCTTTTTTCCTTTGGCCCTTGGGCGAACAAAAAGGGGAACCCAGGTATTTGCAAGGGAGTCGCACCCTGTTTCGCCTTCCTCCCTCAGCTCCAAATCGAGGCCACTACGAGGACCAGCCAGGCAGCACTTACTGCCCCAAGTGTGCAGAGGGCACCTACGCGGCAGACCATGGCCTGACACAATGCACAGCTTGCCCTGCGGGCCGCTCCAGCGACTTCGAGGCCATTTCTGAGCCGGTGAAGACACTGTGGGGCAAAGATTGGTCTTGAAACAATGCGGGGGTGACATAGCCACCATTCCTTACCTCATTGCCGGAGTTTCAGCATCCATGTTGTTCAGCCCCTCTTTTGGTGGGGGTGGAACTCTGGGGTTGGTTTATGCACCAGTACTTCTGCGGCATCTTTAAAAAAATATCGGGATTCATTCGGTTTCGTTGTGTTTTTTCGAGATTAGTCCGTATGTGGCTTTTGCAGATTTCTGAGCATTTGGCACCTCCAGATTGCCAGAAAGGGTGCGAGACAGACCCATTTTAGTGCCATTTGGGTCAATCTTCTGAGATACTCGCCCGGAATCGACCTGCTGAATTGGGTTCCCGTTGACTACATGGAGTCGCTGAACTTCAATGGGGAAAAGCTTGCAGGTTTCCATAAGGGAAACATGACTGTGGCCCAGTTCTGCCCACACATGTGAGCTGAAACATAGACACGATGCAACCACTGAGGCAAGCCGAAAGCAAAAACGAGACCAACAAACAAGCCGAAACCACAAGCGCTTTGGGCTTTGGCATCTTCTTTGAGCAAAACCAAGTGAAAGAGAGCGAAAGAGAGGGGGAGGATCGGGAGCAAGAGGCATCGTGCTTCAGATCAGCCGTCCTGTTACACGTATTTTTTTCCACCGTTACACAAATTGGCCATATGACAGGTTTCAGACAGGCTTTGCCAACATGAGGCTTGACCAATTTAAGAGGCTTTGCCCACATCTTTTTCGCCATATTTTTCTTTTCACCATCTCGCCAAGTTTTCTTTTCCCCCTTTTGATGTCGACTCTTTTTCGCTCCTGGCAAACGACGGCCAGACGGGCAAACTGGGCGAAAAACGCGCAACAGGGGGGTCGACGGGCAGGGCGCCGCCTCGCCGGAGATGTGCCTCTGCCCCGCGGGCCAGCGCCTGGATGGCGCCCAGTGCCTGGAGTGCGGCGTGAAGGAGGCCGGAGATGAGGCTGACGGAAGGTCCGGTTTCAGATGCGTGCTAGATCAAATATATATATATATAGACATATATATATATATATATATATGTAAAAATGTATGTATGAATATATGTCTATATTATATATATATATATATGTATGTATGTTATGTTATGCTATGTTATGTTATGTTATGTTATGTTATGTTATGTATGTATCCATGCATGCATGCATGCCTGCATGTATGTATGTATGTAATGTAATGTAATGTAATGTAATGTAATGTAAGGTAATGTAAGGTAATGTAATGTAATGTAATGTAATGTAATGTAATGTAATGTAATGTAATGTAATGTAATGTAATGTATGTATGTAATGTATGTATGTATGTATGTATGTATGTATGTATGTATGTATGTATGTATGTATGTATGTATGTATGTATGTATGTATGTATGTATGTATGTATGTATGTATGTATGTATGTATGTGTATGTATGTATGTATGTATGTATGTATGTATGTATGTATGTATGTATGTATGTATGTATGTATGTATGTATGTATGTATGTATGTATGTATGTATGTATGTATGTATGTATGTATGTATGTATGTATGTATGTATGTATGTATGTATGTATGTATGTATGTATGTATGTATGTATGTATGTATGTATGTATGTATGTATGTATGTATGTATGTATGTATGTATGTATGTATGTATGTATGTATGTAATGTATGTATGTATGTAATGTATGTAATGTAATGTAATGTAATGTAATGTAATGTAATGTATGTATGTAATGTAATGTAATGTAATGTATGTAATGTAATGTAATGTATGTATGTAATGTAATGTAATGTAATGTAATGTATGTATGTATGTATGTATGTATGTAATGTAATGTAATGTAATGTAATGTAATGTAATGTAATGTATGTATGTATGTATGTATGTATGTAATGTAATGTAATGTAATGTAATGTAATGTAATGTAATGTAATGTAATGTAATGTAATGTAATGTAATGTATGTAATGTATGTATGTATGTATGTATGTATGTATGTATGTAATGTATGTATGTATGTATGTATGAATGTAATGTATGTATGTATGTATGTAATGTAATGTATGTATGTATGTATGTATGCAATGTAATGTAATGTAATGTAATGTAATGTAATGTAATGTAATGTAATGTAATGTAATGTAATGTAATGTAATGTAATGTAATGTAATGTATGTATGTATGTATGTATGTAATGTATGTATGTATGTATGTATGTATGTATGTATGTATGTATGTATGTATGTATGTATGTATGTATGTATGTATGTATGTAATGTATGTATGTATGTATGTATGTATGTATGTATGTATGTATGTATGTATGTATGTATGTATGTATGTATGTATGTATGTATGTATGTATGTATATGTATGTATGTATGTATGTATGTATGTATGTATGTATGTATGTATGTATGTATGTATGTATGTATGTATGTATGTATGTATGTATGTATGTATGTATGTATGTATGTATGTATGTATGTATGTATGTATGTATGTATGTATGTATGTATGTATGTATGTATGTATGTATGTATGTATGTATGTATGTATGTATGTATGTATGTATGTATGTATGTATGTATGTATGTATGTATGTATGTATGTATGTATGTATGTATGTATGTATGTATGTATGTATGTATGTATGTATGTATGTATGTATGTATGTATGTATGTATGTATGTATGTATGTATGTATGTATGTATGTATGTATGTATGTATGTATGTATGTATGTATGTATGTATGTATGTATGTATGTATGTATGTATGTATGTATGTATGTATGTATGTATGTATGTATGTATGTATGTATGTATGTATGTAATGTATGTACGTATGTAATGTAATGTAAGATAATGTAATGTAATGTAATGTAATGGCATTGAATGTAATGTAATGCAATGTCATGTATGTATGTATGTAATGTAATGTAATGTAATGTAATGTAATGTAATGTAATGTAATGTAATGTAATGTAATGTAATGTAATGTAATGTATGTAATGTAATGTATGTATGTATGTATGTATGTATGTATGTATGTATGTATGTATGTATGTATGTATGTATGTATGTATGTATGTATGTATGTATGTATGTATGTATGTATGTATGTATGTATGTATGTATGTATGTGTAATGTATGTATGTATGTATGTATGTATGTATGTATGTATGTATGTATGTATGTATGTATGTATGTATGTATGTATGTATGTATGTATGTATGTATGTATGTATGTATGTATGTATGTATGTATGTATGTATGTATGTATGTATGTATGTAATGAATGTATGTATGTATGTATGTATGTATGTATGTATGTATGTATGTATGTATGTATGTATGTATGTATGTATGTATGTATGTATGTATGTATGTATGTATGTATGTATGTATGTATGTATGTATGTATGTATGTATGTATGTATGTATGTATGTATGTATGTATGTATGTATGTATGTATGTAATGTATGTATGTATGTAATGTATGTATGTATGTATGTATGTATGTATGTATGTATGTATGTATGTATGTATGTATGTATGTAATGTATGTAATGTAATGTATGTATGTAATGTAATGTAATGTAATGTAATGTAATGTAATGTAATGTAATGTAATGTAATGTAATGTAATGTAATGTAATGTAATGTAATGTATGTATGTATGTATGTATGTAATGTATGTATGTATGTATGTATGTATGTATGTATGTATGTATGTATGTATGTAATGTAATGTAATGTAATGTAATGTAATGTATGTATGTATGTATGTATGTATGTATGTATGTATGTATGTATGTATGTATGTATGTATGTATGTATGTATGTATGTATGTATGTATGTATGTATGTATGTATGTATGTATGTATGTATGTATGTATGTATGTATGTAATGTATGTATGTATGTATGTATGTATGTATGTATGTATGTATGTATGTATGTATGTATGTATGTATGTATGTATGTATGTATGTATGTATGTAATGTATGTATGTATGTATGTATGTATGTATGTATGTATGTATGTATGTATGTATGTATGTATGTAATGTATGTATGTATGTATGTATGTATGTATGTATGTATGTATGTAATGTATGTATGTATGTATGTATGTATGTATGTATATGTATGTATGTATGTATGTATGTATGTATGTATGTATGTATGTATGTATGTATGTATGTATGTAATGTATGTATGTATGTATGTATGTATGTATGTATGTATGTATGTATGTATGTATGTATGTATGTATGTAATGTAATGTAATGTAATGTAATGTAATGTAATGTAATGTAATGTAATGTAATGTAATGTAATGTAATGTAATGTAATGTAATGTAATGTAATGTAATGTAATGTAATGTAATGTAATGTAATGTAATGTATGTATGTAATGTATGTAATGTATGTAATGTATGTAATGTAATGTATGTAATGTAATGTAATGTAATGTAATGTAATGTAATGTAATGTAATGTATGTATGTATGTATGTATGTATGTATGTATGTATATGTATGTATGTATGTATGTATGTAATGTAATGTAATGTAATGTAATGTAATGTAATGTAATGTAATGTAATGTATGTGATGTAATGTAATGTATGTATGTATGTATGTAATGTATGTATGTAATGTAATGTAATGTAATGTAATGTAATGTAATGTAATGTAATGTAATGTAATGTAATGTAATGTAATGTAATGTAATGTAATGTAATGTAATGTAATGTAATGTAATGTAATGTATGTAATGTAATGTAATGTAATGTATGTAATGTATGTAATGTAATGTAATGTAATGTAATGTAATGTAATGTAATGTAATGTAATGTAATGTAATGTAATGTAATGTAATGTAATGTAATGTAATGTAATGTTATGTATGTATGTATGTAATGTATGTATGTATGTATGTATGTATGTATGTATGTATGTATGTATGTATGTATGTATGTATGTATGTAAGGAGAAACAAGTAGATAGCTAAACACGAAACATAGACAAATGCACAAGAATGCATATATATATATATATATGTATGTACATATATATATGCATGTATGTATATATGTAAAGAGAATCAAGTAGATAGCTAAATACGAAACATGGACAAATGCACCAGCGTGTATATGTATATATATATATATATGTAGAGATTTGGTTGAGATTGGTGATTTGGATTGGAGCCCCTAGCTTTTGAGGGTAAATGGGAAAAAGACACCCAACCTGCAAGCCACCAATCCAAGTGATACGCAGTTCGGTTGAACCCCACCAGGCTGAACTCCACCTACCACTGCGTGAATGGCATTCCAACCCATTTTGAATGCTATCCCCTTGCCATGAATAGTGCCACTTTCCGTGTAAGGCCGCAAAAACCAACAAGTTGGTTTGAAAGGGAAGCCAGAAAGAACCGAGTCACCGAGTGCAGGGAGGGAGTCCCCTAGAACGCGTTCGTAGTGACACCCACAAAGTAAACAACTTGAACTGGCAGTGAAAATCAGCGTCATTTCGACCCCAAAGAGGCAACTACGCACACACACACAGACACACGCACACATGCACACAAACGCAAACAAACGCAAGCAAAAGCACACAAACGCACACAAACGCACACAAACGTGCGAAAACGCGCAATAAAGCACACCCAAACGCGTACACACGTGCACGGAAACACCAATAGAAGCACAGAACGCACAAACACGCACAACACCGCGCACAAAAACATGCACAAACACTGCACAAAAACGTGCACAACATCGGGCACACAAGTTCACAATTGCACAAACGCACAAGCGCACAAACGCACAAACGCAGCAGCGCAGAAACGCAGGCACGCAGAAACACGCAAACACACAAACACCCAAGCTCACAAACGCACAAACGCACAAACAAACAAACAAACAAACACACAAACACAAGAACACACACACATACAAGCACACAAGAACCCGGCACACAGCACACACACACACACAACAATGCATACCCTTCATATAGCGGCATGTTTGTGTGGCTGTATGTCCAGCTGCATTTTTTGTGTACCATTTTCAGGCCCTAGGTCTTTTTTTGGTGTTCGAAGCTCAGGTGTGCCTGGGTGGCAAGGTGGTGGGCTCCCGGCCGTCGCCGGAGGAATGGATCGCCGCAGTGGAGCTCGCCGCGATCCTTCAGGCTCAGGCGTGGATGGAGGAAATCCACTTTGAAACCACGGGAAAGCATCACGTTTCGTGGTATTTACGTTGGGGAATCATCCATTTCGCACCGGGAAAGCAGAACGTTTGTTGGTATCTCGTTGGGGAATCGAATCAGACACCAGGGATTCTTAGGTGGTGCAGGGTTTCGTCCATCCACAGTATGAAGGGGTGAGACTCTGGATTACAGTTGGCGAACCTCAAATGAATGGAAATGAACACAACCTCCCGTTTCAAGAAGAACCAAAAAGGTGGAACCGGACACCTATAAGGCCCTAAAAGGGCGCCCTAGCACAAGGTAACGTGGTCTATCATGTTTTGCTTCATGCCTATGCCAAAGCTGCGTTCTGGGATTTGCTGCTGGATGCCACGAAAAGCGGGCGGTGCGCCAAGGACGGGTTTAAGGTGGGGTTTTTGGTCACCCTCGCTTCCCAACTGAGCAAGTGTTCGCAGCTTTCTGCGAATGTTGGCAGAAGGACAGGTCTGAGTTCCGTGCCCCAGTTCATGCCATGGATGCGCTGTCGTGGATGAACATGGAGAACCTCCTCTCAAGCCCTGGCGCATCAAAACTTCGCCGTCCTATCAATCACATTTTCACCCATCATATTTGTTTTTCTGTCCAAGGGATGAGTCTTCTCGATGTGACCATCTATATATATAGATGGTCACATCGAGAAGACTCATCCCTTGGATAGAAAAAACCATCCTGTTCAAGTTTGTTTTTGATGGGGTTTCCGGTTTGTATCTCTATCCCCCTGTCTACCACTTCCATCCCTTTACTTCACTCTTTTCTCCTTTCGCTCTTCTCCGGTGGTGCCGGTCCTTTCATTGGTGAGTTGGGATGGGTAAAAGATCCAGCGGTAGGACAGACCGTGTAAATGAGGTCTAGGGTATTATCGTCTACTCACTTCGCGCGCTTGCCTTCTCTTTGACCCGTCCATAAGACCCTGAACATGACGAAGAGACAAGTGCGGACAGGCAATCAGAGATGCATTCAATGATGACGAAGGCAGCTAGAGACCCAGAGAGATAGGACAGAGATGCTTTGTGTCCTAGTTGACCTCTTCGCTCGGGGCATTTCTTCCCTCTCCTTTCCTTTTTGACAATTTTCTCCGGTCTTGCGCTCTGGACGGGTCCTCGTTGATGATCTTACTCTCGCCGGCCCCCCCTTGGGGGCCCAAGTGATGAGCCGGCGAACACTTCTCGGGTCCTTGGTCGGAATTGAGTGTTCTTGAACATGCAGCTTGCAAGGCGCAGCCGCCTTTGATACGACACGCTAGACAGAGCGTTGAACGCTTCTGATCAGTCACAGGCGTTGATGTCAGAAAGATCTGGAAGGCTGCAACGCCGTTCTGCGCGGATGAATCTCCCTCGCCAGAGGATACTCTTGCTAATGGCGAGCTAACCCTCGTTGCGTGTGTGTTGCTGGTGCGGGCTTTGTGGCTGGTAGATCGACATCATCCTGCGCAACAACGATAGGCAGTTAGCTGGGCTAACCAGCTGGGCCAATTTCAGTTTGTAGCCGGCACTCCTTGCTGATGCTGATTTTGCCAGAGAAAAATTGAGTCCAAGCAAACAGCAGACGCCCTAGGTCAACGGCAGAAGCAGAAGCGGTATCCTTAGTGTTCTTCTTGCTCACCTTCCTTGTGCTTGGAGCCTCTGCTTGGCCGCCCCATGGATCTTGCGGGCTGATAGCCAATTGCCCAAAAAACAAGAAGTTTACTTCCAATGCGCCAAAGGGCCGTGGGTCAAAACCAATGGGTGGGGGCTAACCGATTGGGATTTTGCCCCATGGCCATATGTTTTGTTGCCGCGCTCAGCGCAGTTCTCCGTTTTCTTGAGGGTAGCTGAGGCGTGAGAAGCTTGTGAGCCGTTGGCGTTCTTCTGCCCCTCAATGCCTTTCGCGCACCCAGCAAATCGGCGAATTTCCATAAGCCCAAAAGCGCGCGGTTACCGAGGGGCGTACCCAAGGTAACACGGTCTTGCGTCGGTTGGCCTACGCCAAATTTCTGCATTTGGCTCATCATTTCTTTTGTTTCCACATGCCCCCAAGAAAAAGCCGACGCAGATTTCAGGTCCCGGTTCTTGGTTGCCCTCTCTTTCTTTCCCAGATTTCCAAAAGGTTTAACGCTTTTGAGTATGGAATCGCCTCCCCTGGACATAGATCCAACTGCGTCAGTGATGTCCGAAGGGTCTACAAACTCACCACAGAATTATTGATTGCTGCTGGGTTGGATCTTTAGAGTTGAAATCGAGCTTTTTCCCTTGTGTCTCCCCAAAAAAGAAGGTTTAACTGTTCTTTAGACTTCAACGTTAGCGAGCTTCACATGTTCAACGCTTTGGGGTATGGAGCCGCCCTTCCCACGGACAGATCGGTCCCCTGCTTTAAGCGATGTCCGGCGGGTCTGTTTTAACTCACCACAGAAGTCTGGGGACAAAAGGGCGGCCTTGTTTCGAAGGACTCTCAAAAAAAGAACACGCACACCCTCAAAAACCACCTCAAGAATACGGGCACCCTCAAAACACGCCACACAAAAAGGGAAACCAAAGGGTAGCCCCAGGGGGAGTCCATGGCCAAGTACTTCTTGCTGATCGCCAAGGGCATCGAGCCCTCGGCCAACAAGGCGCGCTTCCGGCGCTTACGCGAGCCTGCGAGTCCGTGGGTGGCAGATATGGCGCCAAGTGGGAAGGGATGGGCCTTGGGACTCACAGTCAGAAGCATTTTGTTTTTCCCCCCCCCCCCCCCGAGGTTCGGGGAGGACTTTGATTGCAAAGTGAGGCCATGGTTTCTTTGTCTCCTGACACGTCGGAAACTTGACACAGTTGGGACACTTGTTGGTTTTTGGACTCTGGTCAGTTTTTTTCCCTGCCAGGTTGAGGACGACTTTGACCATTGCAAATTAATGAAGAGGAGGCCAGGAGGCCAAGTAAAAAAGAGACGTTTGGGCCCGTTCAAACACCATGTCCAGCCTTAGAGGAGTCTGAGCTTGTTGTTTTGGGATGGCTCCTTTATTGGAACCCAGTTAAACTGCTTGGTGGTTTACACAATTGCATTTTTTCTTCCGGGGGGGGGGGGTTGATTTGGCCTGAGCCAGGCTTTCATGCTGGGTTTGATGGACACTTACAACTCCAGCCTCACCGCTCTGCTGCATGGGGACCCGCAGCTGAAGGTGCCGGCCGACCCCGGCGAAGAGGCGGAAGAGATGAGTCGCCGGGCGGATCCCCCTCGCGGACCCCGTTTTTTTCAGAGCGAAGCGCTGAGGTTTCGTCAAAGGTTCTCCAGATGTTTTTTTGGTGCGTGTAGGGACAGGGGCTGGCTTACCCAATGCCCCCTTTTCTTTTTTGGCTCATTTGGGGGTTCTTTTTGTTTTTTTGGTGCCCGTTCAAGAGTAACTTTAGAGCTTCCGGCTCAGTCCGCCGACATTGTCCTCTCCCTTTTCTCCTTCTTCCTCTCTCCCTTGTCTCCCGCGTGTGTTCTGTCGTCCTCTCTCCCTCCCTCTGCTCCCCATCCTCCCCATCCCCCCAAGCCTCTCTCTCCTCAATCTCCCCCTCTCTCTCTCTCTCTCTCCCTCTCCTCTCCATCCTCTCTCTCTTTATCTACCCCCTTGATTGCCTCTTCATTTCCCTCTCATGTCCCGTCATTTCGTTTCATGTCCCGGCACTGCCTATCATTTCCTCGTTATGTCCCCTTCATTTCCTGTCAATTCCACCTTCATGTCCCTGTCATTTTCTCGGTATTTTGGCTTCATTTTCGATTTATGTCCCACTCATTGCCAGCCATTTCCCTACATGTCCCTTCGCGTCTGTTGATTTCCTCATTACTGTCTGTCATTTCCCTTCGTTTCCCCTGCATTCCCCCTGCATCTCTCCTGCATTTCCCACACTGGGAAATTAAGGGGATACTTCGGGAAAATTGTGGGGAAATTGTGGGGACATTGGGGGGGGCATTGGGAGGAAATTGGGCGAAATTTGTGGAAATTGGGGGGAAATTTGGGAATGTGGGGGGGGGGAGGGAAATTTGGAGGGAAATTTGGGGGAGATTGGGTGGAAATCTGAGGGGAATTGACGGGACATTGGGGGGAAGTTGGGCAAGGCTTAACTCATCTGCATTCCCTCTACAAGTCACGCAAAGAAGGTGGTCAAGGAAGTCGCAAAACACTGTGTTTTTCAATGGTTTCAGCAAAGGGAAAGCACACATCACCGTGTGTTTCGATGTTTTCAGCAAAAGGAAGCGCAAAACCTGAGCCGGCAGAGAGAGGCGGCAGGGGGATTCGAGCCTGGGACCCCTGCCTCCCCGAAGACTATTTTTATCAGACCGTCATCAAATTGCCGCGCGGTACGTGGGGGTGAGGCCCACTGCCGGGGTGCCTATTTCAGAAGGGAACTGGTACCCTGTGGTAGTAGAGGTCGTTGATTTGGTCCTTGGATCTATTCCCAATATGCCAATATGGAGGATTGGAGGATGGATTGTCCCTGGTGGCTTGTATTGACTGTTATACCTGTAAAGCGGTCTGCAAGCCTTTTATCAATGTACCATGCGTCGAGTGACTGTACGATTGAAATAGAAGGGCCTTGAGCCAAATGTTGCAGGAGATCAAGTGTTCAACGAACCAAACACAAAACAGACGCAAATTTCTTTTCTCGATATGAAATATCTTTGGCTTCATGGCCTTTGGCCGTAGCCTTGATTTTTAGCCGTAGCCATGTGTATTGAAATACTGGATTCATCCTGTTTTCTGCGCGGATGAAATGTCTTGACTTGCAAAATGGGAAAATGTATCTAAAAGATGATGTACAACGCTATGTACATGCGGGACGAATGTGAAACTATTGATCTCTCACTGAATAGTCTTGTTGGCGGTGAGGATCAATTCGGTTGAAATTCGTAGTGCCGATCTTGGGTGTTCTCTGAGTCGAGCTTCAGAAAAACTTCTTTCCTTGGCGGATCACTCAGACCAAAGGAGGTCGAATGGATGCCAAAGTGGCTGCTTCATCAGGTAGTCAACGGTACCACCGATGGCTGCTGTCGGATTGACTGCCGTAGTGTCCGTAGTCGTTCCAGGTCGAGTCGCCGTAGTCTTTCCACTGCTTCGGATTGCCCCAGTGCTGCTTGTTGTATTCCTTGTACTCTTGCTGAGTCCAGGATTGCTTCTTCTTGAGGTGCTCCTTGGATCGCTCAAAGTTGCGCTGCCTGGTGGCAGATCTGCTGCGGATGTAGACCATCAGCGGACTGTGTGAATCGGAATCTTGAGAGCCATTCATGAACATATCATTGTTCACGTGCTTGAAGCGTTCCGCGGATGAGACCTGATAGTCGAAGATGGCAGACGTAGGATCGTTCCGCATGGTTTCCAGTTGATCATCTTTCATCGCGTTCATCTCTTCCTTCCGGAAAACCTGCTGGATATTTGTTTTGCCCCATCCAAATACAAAAGTCATAATAACATCTGGGAATGTTCGATCATACCCGGATCCAGCCTTCATGTATAGGTGATGACGGACGATGGATTTGAGGGTGCAGGAAGTCTCCATTGCATATTCCATCCTGTCCACGAGTGGCAAGTTCTCCGTTTCATTCCACAATTTCTGACATGCCTTCATGAGGACATTCATGAGACCGTTGGCCGGATTGTAGACGTGTTGGAGTTTGCTGTAGGCGTTCGCGGACTTGTTGGCGTCTCCGGTGATCGCATCGCATTGGTACAATGTCACGAGCGGCATGGTTGGCTGATTGCTGGATGGATGTGAAAAACTCCAATGGTAGCAAACGGGAGATCTGCCCTCGTTACGTGGCGGCTGTCAAATTCGAGGAGTGAGTCGTTGGATGATTTTGGAAACATACCGCGATACTCATCACTCTGCTCGATGTGGAGGACGACAATCTCCTTGTTACGCCCATGTCCTTGGACAGTGGTGCGTGGCGGCAATCTCGGTCCAATGTACTTCTTGGATTCAGTGAACATGGATGTTCCCGTAGTTGCCAGGCAGTCCGAGGTCGGGATGTCGTATTCGGGATCAGTGCAATTGTTCTCGGTTCCGAAAAAGCATCTGAACATCCCGAATGTGGTTCCCCAATTTTGACTCCTTGTGGAAATGTGCCGTGCCAATAGTTCCACTCTTGCGGAAGGTCCGCTGCGTACAAAGCATGCGATTGGTCTGGATGACCATTGCTTGATAACTATGCCCTTGTATCCAAACCGGATGAACGTCTTGATGAGTTCCCTGGATTTCTCATCTTGAGGACTGAGGAATGCGTCTGCTTCATTTAGGGATATGATGTGCGCGCTGTTCTGCATCATCATTTTCACGATTGGTCGATCCTTCATTGCCATGCTATTCACCTCCTTGCTGTCCAGCTTTGGATTCCTCGTAAGGTTTCCGTGGTTCATGGTGAGCATGTTGATCGTCAGGGATGAGGTGAACTCATGTGCCTTGAGATGGTCCACAGGGGAACGGTCAGTTGGCTGCATCAGCGATGCGATCCCAGGATATCAGCAAATGCTTGGATGACTTCTGGTTTGTCGTATGCCTTGAGCTTCTTTAATCCAATACGAAGCTTGATCGTGATACTGGCTGTGCCTTCCTGAACTCTTCCATGGTTGGACATTCTCCTCGATGGTGGAAATAGAACTCTTCTTCCTCAAGGTTGACATTTGGATCGACATGTGCCAATGAGGCTCGCTCGCATTCTGTGAATTTGGGATGAGCTCCCTTTGGATCCTTGTTGTACTTCTCCATGAAGCGGATGAAGTTCCTTTTGGTCTCCTTGAGCTCTTCCTCGGCGTCCTTCTTGTTCATGTCTATTTCAAGGTATATCTCCTTCAATTCCTTGATGAACTCTTCTAGGTTCTCGGAATTGTGATACTCCATGGTGACCTTCGGCTTGACGGATCTCTCCCCGGTTCCATGTTCTCCTCTTCAATTTCGTCCTGATCGGTGGAGCGCCGTCGCTCTGTGGATGTATTTTTTCGGATTTTACCTTGTTTTGTTGGTCGTTATTCACATGTTTGAGGAAGGCATCGGCGAATTCCTGGATCTTGCTGGTGTACATCTCAATGTCTTCACGACCGAGGTTTTTCTTCATGATCCAGTTGTTGCTCATCATGATGTTCCCCTCGGGATCAAATGCTGCAACAATATTCTTCGCCTCGATGGTTTGTTCTGTCAGTGCTGTTCGCTCTTCGGAGAGTCGGATGTCGTAGTCCTGGTCCTTAAGGAATGCCAGGGTCAGCAATGCATCTCTTCCTGTTGGCACATGTGTCAATGCTGCTTCTGACGCGTCGTCGACGAGGATAACGTCGTCGATGCATGCCATGTGGGTGTGCACTCTCCCCGAAGGGTTTGACTGGGATCTCCCAGATTTTAGCCCGTTCTCCATGATGCTGATGAGATGCTCTCCATATGTTGCATGGAACATGAACGTGATGGGCTTCTTCGCGAACGGCTTGATCTTTCTCTCTTCTTCAATAGATGGTGGTGCCGGCCTTCGCATTCTGTATTTTGCCTGAGCTGTGCCTTCGTCTTCATGGGGCGCGTCGGATCTCGAAGGATGCGGACTTGGAGGAATGGCTTCTGTTGGAAGATCATAGTCCGGTTCTTCTTCTTGGCGAGGCTCACTCTTCTGTCTAGAGTAAAGGGGGCGTCCAAAAGATTGGAGATCGAGTTGTCGAGTGTGACCGCTGTTGCATCTCACATAGAACTCCATCTCTGGATCATTGAGGAATTCTCTGCCATTAGGCCTGAGTGCATCGTATGCGGATCTGGATGTGAGGTTGTCGATCCATCGATTTCTTGGAACAATGCATCCCCTTGCCTTGCGCTCATTGTATGGCCCGTCCACGGATGGATGCACGAACGCAATCTCGAAACGTGCCTTTCCATAGTTCGGGAACATAGCCATCAGGAGAAGTGCTGGCTTATTGCCCATGAAGTTCTTCGCATGGGTAATGCATCCCAATGCGTCGTAGAGCTCAACGGATCCGTCATGACCCATGTCCACTGGTCGTCGGCATTCTCTGTGGTGGCCTTGTTTTGGATCATGTCGGAAACATCCGGAAAACAATCTGCTCAATCGCTCGATTCGCCAGAGGATGAGGTCGGTGATCTGTTTTGCCTTGGATGGAGCCATGTTGAAATATTTGCAAACCTGCTCAACATTCTGGACGGTCTTTTCAAGATCAATCTGGCGGTTGTG